CCAGTCCCCACATGACTCATTAAATAATCCACTCCTCATTTAAAAAAAATTTTTAAATGTAAATGCCAGTGAGGAATCTGCTTCAGACAGATTCTGACATAATGAAAGTTAAACAACTATTACTCAGGTCAAATGGAAACATCCATACACTAGACAGTAGAGAAGACCCTAATTTGGGGTCGAGGGCATGTTTGTGTTTTCTTACAGGAAAAGAATAAAGCTTCAGTAGCTGTCACAACATTTGGTGAGATACATGGAGCAGAGAAAACTAGACCTGAGACCATGGGAGCCTACCTAAGCCAGTTTGAGTGAGATCTCCTAAATCAGTGTTCCTGACCCTTGATGTCATCAAATCTATAGCCCAAGAAAGAAAGAAAACAGTCAGTTTGAGATTTCCAGTTTCTCAACAGACCTACTGCATCAACCTTCCGGAAAAAAGGACCCATTTAAAACATTTGGACATTGGTATGGACTGTGATGAGTGGCAAAAGCCTCTTTTCAGTATTTGAACAGGACATGGACACTTAAAATATCAGACTTGGTAGTTCCTGTTTCTGGAATCACACCTATGCCAGTGTGTTTTTCTGGAGAAACGTGGTTTGTCCTGGTGCTACAAAAAGACTTTGACTTGGGTTACATGTTCGGCTGATACTACTGACATTAAATCGGCAGACTACATCACCACAGGAACAAATTGGTACTCTGTAAATAGTGCAACAAGCCTCTTGTTCATATTTTTTATAATGCTACATGTGTAACATCAATGATTGTACCTAATGTATCTGTGCAAGTGCACTATCTAATGCTTTCCTAAGTAGATCTCAAAATGATTGTAAACTTTATCACTGTTTTAACCGTCAAATTGTAACTATAAATCACCCTTGTAGCAAAGAAAGACTGGTGGTAAAATGCTACAGGCCCAGATTGGGGGATGGGCAGGTGACAGAGAGGCGCTATGTCAGTGGGGGTCCTAGGAATGGTAACAGTGACAGTAGGCATTCTGGCTTCATGCTGAGTTCAAAGTGCCTTAGCCCATGGCAATCCCGATAGCCATAAAGCCTTATTACAGATGATTCTAAGGTTGGGGTCTCTCCGTCGACGGGCAACCTGTGGGGAAGACCCCCTCCCACCTAAGACAGGGGTTCAAGGTCCCCTAAAGACGGGCCAGGGAGGGTGACCCTACTTGACCCAAGCCAGGAGTGCCTCATTTAAAAATAAAAAGGGGTGAATTGTGGGGACACCAGACCTTGAGCAGAAACCCTTCGGCCTGGGAGCAGGCAGCTGTGAGATAATGTTTACTGAAAACAATTCAGTGCTATAAAGCGCTTGATAGGGCTCAGATAAGGGCTGGCTCACTGAGATACCATGACTTTCACACCCCCTACGGCTAGATGCCTCTTCCTGTTCCCCTGCTGTGTCTCCCCAATTCTGGGGCCGGAGATTAAACCACCAGCCAGGAGGGTGAGAAGTCTGGAAAGAATTGTATGTAGGTGGATGGCAGAAGTCCTTAAAAAGGGAAGCTCTTTTTTTCTTGGAGAGACTTCTCCTGAGAGACTTCTCTCTCCTAAGCGGACTTGGAGTCTCCTCCTAAGCTGACTTGGGAAGGATAAAGTTTTTCTTAAAGCAACCGACCGGTCTCTGTGTCATCTATCCCGACCACCTCACTACATTCTCGGATGCAGGCCGCACAGCAGGTGCGACAGATAACTGTGAGTTTGAGGCCAGCTTGGACTACGACCTGTCCGGGATAGGCTCCAAATCTACAGAGAAACCCTGTCTCAAAAAACAAAACAAAGCCGGGCGTTGGTGGCGCACGCCTTTAATCCCAGCACTCGGGAGGCAGAGGCAGGAGGATCTCTGTGAGTTCGAGGTCGGGCTGGCCCAACAGCCTCCAAAACAATAGAGAGAAACCCTGTCTTGTAAAAACCAAAAAAAATATATATATATTATAAATATAATGTGCCTATCAGTGACCTGTTCCTAAAGTAGATCTCTGAGCTACGCATTTCTAATTTCAGTCTTGAAAATAAATGTAGGCCATTGAAATGATCCAGTGGATAAAAGCACTTGTCGTGCAAGTCCAGTGGCCTGGGTTCAATCCCCCAGAGCTTACATAAAGGTCAAAGACTTAAACTAGTTCCACACGATAGTAAAAATTAAAGACAGTAGCTGCAGAAAAGCAGTTCTGACAGCTTTAAGCAATAACAATTCACAGTATCAATACTGAGCTTAGCCGGGCGTTGGTAGTGCACGCCTTTAATCCCAGCACTCAGGAGGCAGAGGCATGCGGATCTCTGTGAGTTCGAGGCCAGCCTGGTCTACAGAGCTAGTTCCAGGACAGCCTCCAAAACAATGCAGAGAAACCCTGTCTCAAAAAAAAAAAAAAAAAAGCACTTAACAGGTGGTGATTTTAAATCAAATTATATCATAAACATTTAGTTTTCTGTTTTTATTTGAAGCTATCTTGAGTTCATTAGTGAATAATGTGCTTTTCTAAGATGTCAATAGGATTAGTTCTTAAATTGTGGTTAATGGGTATTAGAGATGAATTATTGAGCTCACTTTGATAACACATATACTAAGATTCAAACTAGCAAAAAGTATGGTCCCTGCATGAGAATGAAATTAACATTCATGGATTTTTTTTCTATATTTTTTTGGATAATGACTTAATGTTGAAGTCCCTACTGGAGTGATATGATAGTTTCTTATATATTTAGTCTATGCTCAGAAAGAAATAGCTTTTGTGTGTGGATTCACTAGTTTTATTTTTGTTCTTCAAACAATTTCTGTACAGTTTCATAACTGTTTCAATCAATGTGTTGGTAAATATAATTTGTTTTGAGGCAGGTGTGAATACGATCAAAATATCTTGTATGACACTTTCCAAGAACTAGTAAGTAAAGAAGGAAATGTTCCTGAGGTTTGACCTAATACAGAGGAAGGCTCAATCTATGAGAGAAACTATACAGATGAGGGTCTTAGAGGTCCTTTGTGGAATCTATAATGATCAGGGAATGCTCTACCTTTGAACTGTTTGAATTGGGAAAGACTTAATTAAACAAAAAAAGCAAGTCTCTCACAGCCATGGGACAGGTGGGCAAACTGGATCAATCTAGCACTATGGAAGCAGAGAAATTGATACAACTACTGATCCCTCCTTGAGAGAAAGGCCGCACAGTCTAAGTCAATATGAAGGAAATTAGTCCCTGATGAACTGACGCACAGCTGTTAGAGACACCTGCTTATCTCTAGCGGAGGTACCCAAGAATATCAGGGACTTTTTTTTAAAGACTTATTTATTGTGTATACAATGTTCTGTCTGTGTGCATACTTACACTCCAGAAGAGGGAGCCAGATCTCATTACAGATGATTGTGAGCCACCGTGTGGCTGCTGGGAACTGAACTCAGGACCTCTGATAGAGCAGCCAGTGCTCTTAACTAGATATCAGGGATTTAAAAACAGTCAAGAAAGCAGGTGTTTCTGAGGCAATTGGGTATGCCAGAGAAAGTGTTCACTGGGTTCACCAGAGAGTTAATTAAAAATAAATAAATAAATATAGCTCATCAGGAACTTCGAGACAGGAAGCTTTGCTAACACCACAGTGGAGCATGATCTATCTAGGTTCTGAGGTTTACAAGGTTCTATGTACATGATCTTTTGAGGTTCTGCTGGACAGGAATAATTTAGACTAACATGCAAATTGTGTCCATAAAATGCTAAAACACTCAGGAGGAGACGGAGAGGGGAAAACAGAATATGGGGCCTATTTGAGTCACTTGAATGTTGGTGTGGTAAGATATGTATGGAGCCAGAGTCTCTAATGAAGGGGGCTGTGCTTTGGGAGCTTTGAAGCATAGACAACAATCCGTCGATGACTAATATATCATTTTTGTAATGAAACATTTTCAGAGAGGATGCCTTGCTATGCAGTGGTGTTAGCTCTCAGGCTTAAATTACTGTTGCCTTCTCAATCTTGTAAATGTGGATGAAACAGGCTATTATTGCATAAGAATTCAAATGTTTTTCTTCCCTCTGTGGAACACTGACAGCACAGGACCCCAGTTTCCATACGCATGGAATGCTTGTATTCTCTTGTTGACACGTTTATCTTTCCTTGAATGGAAATGGGAAGTTTTTTAAAAAAATATTTATTTATTTATTATGTATACAGTGTTCTGCCTGCATATCAGAAGAGGACACCAGATCTCATTATAGATGGTTGTGAGCCACCATGTGGTTGCTGGGAATTGAACTCAGGACCTCTGGAAGAGCAGTCAGTGCTCTTAACCTCTGAGCCATCTCTCCAAGCCCTGAAAAAAAGTTTTAACAAAGTCTTGGCTCTGCACCAAACTGCCTCAAGGATGGCATCGGCTGCCCCTGTTTCGGTGTCGTGAACTAGCCAACCTCTTCTCGGATTCCAGGACACTACCACCTGGAAAACTGGTGACTTCACTGCCTCAGTGGGAGGGTAGAAACGCGGCAGGCGGCCTTTCAGCAAAGCCAGAGGCAATTCTGCTTACGTGCAGCTATACCCGAGGCCAGCGGGTTCCCAGCGAGAGAAGAGCCGAGTGCCACGGAGGCTGCAGCGCTAGTTTTGGTTCGCGCTCCCCGGGAGCCACCGCTGCCCCGTGGAGAGCGCCGGGAGCCACCGCTGCCCCGTGGAGAGCGCCAGCGGGCTGTCCTCATCCGCCGCCGTTCTCTGGCGCCGCCACAACCCTGCCAGCTCGGGGAGCCCCGGGCCGCTCCGCCGCACGGTGGGACACTGACCCCCAATAAGGGATCCCGGGCAGGCGAGGCGGAAGAGCGTCACCCGCCACGCCTTCTGGGGCCACGTCGCGGCCCCATCCTGTCAGTTTATCGAGTCCCAAGCTGTTCAGTCTCGTTTGGTTTTTTTCTTCATGACCTCCAAACCTAGTAACAGAGTCAGGTCGCAGCAGTCCAGGGATTCGGACGTAGAAAGTGTCCATCCGGAGCAACTTGCCTGACCAGGCGCGCGGGAGAACGAAGCGGAAGCTCCTCCTCCGCCATCTTTCTTCCTGGCAGCGCCGTCCTGACAGCCGCGGAGAACGGGCGTCCCGGAACCGAGCCGGGAGCCGCGGGAGGCCGCGAGCGCAGCCATGGTGAGCGCGGCGGGTGGAGGCGGGGGCCTGGCCCCCAGGGTCCTGGGGACCGCGGCGGAGCCTCTGCACTGCGCCCCGGACGCCCCGAGGACGCGGTGGCCGCGGCCCGAGCTCTGCGGCCCCGGGCGGGCGAGCGGCAGCGGCGGCGGCGGCGGTCGCTTTGTTTTCCCTGGGAGAGCCCGGGTTCGTGGGAAGCCGTTTCCAAATTCCACGACTGTGTCCCCCATGCTAACGCTGTTTCTCCGGATTGTCAGCCCCCCAATTCCAGGTCCTCCCAGGCACTGTCAAGTTTACCGCCCGGGCGACCCACCGATCCCCGTGACAGACCCGGAGTGTGGCCGTCTGGGATGCGGCTGGACTGTTGCAGGGACTGAGTCGGGTTTTTAATGCTAGTTGACAGAGTTAGGGAGAAGGCCCCGATGTGAGAGTGAAAGGTTGTCGTGGGGTTAGCTAGAAGACCCGGGGCTTTTCTTGGGAGGTAAATCGGCAGCATTAAGGTGTACTTGATACTGTTCTGTCTTCTCTGGCCAGCGGATCATTTTGAGGCAACAAGTGATGGTTTTGTTCTGCGGTGTAATTTCTCTAGGAGGCCAGTTTCAGACATCTCCATATAGAAATGCAGTTTCACCGCCATCATATATCAGTCATGTCCTCCTGCCTCCGGTGTGTGTTTTTTGACGGCTTTGTTGAGTATCAACTGACCAAATGGTTTTGTTTCCGTGCTCTCTTTTCTCTCCCATTGGACTGAACATCTGTATTTATGACAGTATCCTGTCGGGTTTTATCCTGTTCTGTTTGTTCTCGCTGTCACCTGCAATGTGTTTTGAAATCAGGTAACATGAAACACGAAGCATTGCTCTCCTGGTCTCTTATGATTTCAGACCAATTTTAAGCATTGTTTCTGTTGTGCCCAAGTTGTAAAGATCCCCAGAGACCACCAGGAAGACAGACCCACTAAACTGCAAAAGCAAGGTTTAATGATTGTTCATCCACCCATGGCAGGGACCCCGTCTAGCTAGCTGACTCAGCAGCCCCCGAGGGAGTGAAGTTCCCTGTCTCCTGCTACGTTTTATAACAAAAGTTACAGGATTACATCAGTAGGTACAGGTTGGTTTCTGATTGGTTGACATTTGGGAATAATTAGGAGCATTTCTCAAAGTCATGCTTTGGCATGAAATACCTGTGTACCAATTATTCTCATTGATCAGTGCTGAGAGGGAACATTCTGTGGTTTCTATGGCATTGTCTTGTTACTTGCAGGTGGCCTGTTGTACATAGACACCAATAGTTTTCAGAACTGTATCCTGGAGACTACAGGGGAGGTGTTGGTCCCCCCTGGAGTTTCTTTTGTGGCCAAACAGTTCCCAGGAACCAAGTATCTAGGAGACTGGGGGTGGGGGTGATCTGGAGTTTCTTTGTGTTCAGCTTTGTCCCTAGACTCTGGGAGGCCAGAGGATCTGGAGTTTCCTTGTGTCAGAGGCCCATGTGTCTTTTCTGTAGTCTGTCATGGCTGCTGAAGCAGGGGCTGAGTGAGGGTCTGGTCCCTTTATTTCTAAGTTATTAGAAGTGGAGCCTTTGAATTTAGTTTACCCTTTCAGTTTCTAGTTTTGTGTAAAGTGTTGTGATAATTTTAAGCCAATTTCACTGAATCGATGTTATTACTTTGGGTTATTTTAGAGATATTGACTCTCCTAATTCATGATCATGGTAGGTCTTTCTTTTCTAATGTCTTGTTTAATTGAAAATAATTTTTTTTGTTTTTTTGAGACAGGGTTTCTCTATATAGTTTTGGAGACTGTCCTGGAACTCACTCTGTAGACCAGGCTGGACTTGAAATCACAGAAATCCGCCTGCCTCTGCCTCCTGAGTGCTGGGATTAAAGTTGTGTGCCACCAACTCCCGCAGTCGTTTTGTTATAATCTTTTGATCGGTACTTGGTTTTCTTGGCTTTGTTGCTCTTTACACAGAGAGTCTAACTGTGCACCCCGTCTGGCCTGGAACTCTTAAATCATGCTGCCTTAGGCTCTCATGTACTGTGTGCTGCCTGGTGCACACTATAGCACCTGGCTGTGGTTTTCTATGTATTGAGACAGGGATGGTTTGACTCCTTCTTTCTGATTCGTTTACCTGTTGTTGCTTTTGCTTGCATAATTACTCTGACTAGTAGTTTAGTACTATATTGAAGAAGAGGCTTGGGTAGTCACCTAGCAATTGTTTCTAATCTTTGAGAAAATACTTTCAGTTTTTTCCCTCATTTAGGATAGTATTACTGGTTATGTGTTTGTCATGAAAACCTTTGTTATCCTAATGTGTGCTCCTCCTGTGCATACCAGATGCTGAACTTTGATCATGACTTGGGGTGGAATATTGTCAAAGGCTCTCTTGCTTCTAATGTCAGTTATTAGATTTTTAATTCTTGATTTTGTTTGTGTGACACTATACTTGCTAATCTTCTTATCTTCTGCATATAAAAGGAAACTTTACACATGAAAAGATACTTGTCAAAACACTCGAATTTGGTCTTTTCCATTTCAGCGTATAATTTGATTATTCTTCATGGGAAAGGGAAGTGTGTGCATGTTTCCAAGTAAATTCCTTGGGAATGCTGTCCACCTTTTGAGAAAAGGTCTTCTTTTTTACCTGAAGCTTACCAGTTGTACTAGATTGGCTAACCAGTATCCACCTGTCTGCACCTGTGATCGCCAGTGCTGTGTCCCACCATGCCCAGCAGTTTTATGTGGGATTGGGGGGTTTCAAACTCAGGCCCTCATGCTCAAGAGTCAAGCACTTTTCCAAGACCTGTTCTAAGAATAGTCTCCACATAGCTGCTGTTAAGTCTATTATGGATACTGAATAGTGGGATTTTTTTTTTTTTTGGTTTTTTTCGAGACAGGGTTTCTCTGTATTGTTTTGGAGGCTCTCCTGGAACTCACTTTGTAGACCAGGATGGGATTTTTTTTTTAAGACAGAGCCTCACTAGCTGACCAAGAACTCACTATGTAAGGCTGGCCTCAGACGCAAGGAGACCCGCTGCCTCTGCTCCCGAGGGCTGGGATTAAGGTGTGCGCTGCTGTGCCTGGCCCAGTGGAATTTTTTTAGGAGAGGTGCAACAGAGCCATTGTACAGATTTTACTGGACAATCAAACAGCATAACAGCATCTGCTTTTGCTGTATGATATCGTTCCAGCCTAGCATTGGAATTACATTGCTAAATAGTGAGAGAGAGCACTGACCAGAACACTGGTGAGCATTACATGGATTTAGCGTTGGACGACACAGCATTCTATTTTGTTTTTTTTTAAGATTTATTTATTTATTATGTATACAGTGTTCTGTCTGCATGTATGCCTACAAACAACAAGAGGGTACCAGATCTCATTACAGATGGCTGTGAGCCACCATGTGGTTGCTGGGAATTGAACTCAGGACCTCTGGAAGAGCAGAGCAGGCAGTGCTCTTAACCTCTGAGCCATCTCTCCAGCCCCAGCATTCTGTAACACAGCATCATATGCACTGAGTAGAAATCTCCAATGTATCTCACCCTTCCTCCTGAAAATAATGTGTCATTTTTCAGGAGTCTGTATCCTTCGAGGATGTGGCTGTGAACTTCACCCCAGAGGAATGGGCTTTACTGAATTCTTCCCAAAAGAGACTACACAGAGATGTAATGCAGGAAAACTTCAGGAACCTGGCTGCCATAGGTAAGGGGGGAAATCATTGCCTTGTTTAGTTCATGAGAAAACAGGTTTTGGGGTTTGTGGTTTTTTGTTTTTGGATTTTTTTTTTGAGGTAGGGTTTCTCTGTGTAGCTTTGGAGCCTGTCCTGGAACTAGCTCTTGTAGACCAGGCTGGCCTCAAACTCATAGAGATCCACCTGCCTCTGTCTCCTGAGTGCTGGGACTAAAAGCGTGTGCCACCACCTCCCGGAAAGAAAACCGTATTTTTGCCAATCGATACAGCTCGATGATTTGTACAGAAACAGAAATTTTGATAATAAACCAGTCATGGTCATGTTGTACTAGAAACCTACTTAGAATCTAATCATTTTCTGGAGAGTTGTATTAACTCAAAGTGATTCTTCTGGATCTATATTCCAGCAAAAAATCAAGAAGACCCGACCCTTGAAGATGACTATGAATATTTAAGGAAAATTCTTCCCTTCGCAGTTCAGACTGGATACAGACTATGTGAGAATCAAGACTATGCAGAGAAACCAGGCACAAATAAGGAATGTGGGAAAGTCTTTAGTTCTCCCCAGCGCTTTCTGGAGCACGGAACAACTCAAATGGAAGAGAAAACTAATGAATGGAAGCAAACTAAGGAAGGTTTCAGTAAACACAGTTATGTTCAAGTCCCTGAAAAAATACATGCTACAGAAAAATCTTGTGTTTTAAAGCAGACTGGGAAAGACTTTTTGACTCTCGCTGGTATTCAACAGCACATAACACATAATGGACATGGGCCATATATATGTAAAGTATGTGATAAAGCCTTTCTCTCTTCCAGTTCTTTCTTGACCCATGAAAGAACACATACTGAAGAACAGCTTTATACATGTAAGCAATGTGGCAAAACCTTCACGTATTCCAGTGGCCTTCGCCGCCATGAAAGGACTCATAGTGGAGAGAAACCCTATAAATGCAAGCAATTTCTGAAAGTCTTTCCTTCTTTGAGTAAGGTTGAAAATCATGAAGAAACTCACAATGGAATAAAATACATATGTAATCAGTGTGGAATAGACTTCAGCGATCACAATTCCCTTCAATGCCATGAAAAGATCCACAGTTTAGAGAAACCCTATATATACAAGCAATGCGGAAAAGCATTCACTTGTCCCAGTGCCTTGCGAAGACATGAACGAATTCATACTGGAGTGAAGCCCTATGAATGTAAGGTCTGTGGGAAAGCCTTCATTGACTGCAGTTCTCTTCAGTGTCATGAGAGGATTCATAGTGGAGAGAAACCTTATGTATGTAAGCTGTGTGGGAAAGCCTTCAGTCGTCAAGGTTCTCTTAAATGCCACGAAAGGATTCATAGTGGAGAGAAGCCCTACGCATGCAAGCAGTGTGGGAAAAACTTCATGCATCACAATGCTCTTAGATACCATGAGCAGATTCACAGTGGAGAGAAATCCTACGGGTGTAAGCAATGTGGGAAAGCCTTCGTGTTGAGCAGTGCATTGAAAAAACATGAACGAATTCACAGCGGATTAAAACCTTGTTTGTGTAGGGTGTGTGGAAAAGCCTTCACGTTTCATAGTTCCCTTCATTGCCATGAAAGGACTCACACTGGAGAGAAACCCTATGTATGTAAGCAGTGTGGGAAAGCCTTTATGTACCACAGTTCTCTTCGTTGCCATGAAAATATCCACAGTGCAGAGAAACCCTATGTGTGTAAGTTATGTGGGGCAGCCTTCACTTTCCACAGTTCTCTTCAACGCCATGAGCGAATCCACAGGGGAGAGAAACCGTATGTCTGCAAGTTCTGTGGGAAAGCCTTTACTGATCACAGTTCTCTTCGGTGTCATGAAAGGATTCACACTGGAGAGAAACCCTATGTGTGTAAACAGTGTGGGAAATCCTACAGTACTCATGGTTCTCTTCGATACCATGAAAGGATGCACTGTGTGTAACTACATTGGAAAACCTCCTCTTTGAATATGTTTTAATCTTATTAACTAAAAAACAAAATATATGGTTGTAAGCAATGTAAATAGGCCTTAATATGTTCTGGTTCCCTTCAAAAGAACACTATTGGAGACAAACTGGAGCATATCTCTAAATACAGAATTAAGGAAAACTCCTTTATTATAAGCTCTTTAAAGCAAACATGATGGTATAATGAACTTAACCTGAATCAATGTAAAGCATGTGGGATTATCTCTACTTCTCTCTGTTCAGTTCTCACAAAAACACTAAGGGGATGGGGAGATGGCTCAATCTGTATAGTGCCTGCCCTGGAAGCATGAGGTCCTGAGTTTAAATCCTCAGCACCAATATAAAAGCCAGACATGGCGGCACATGCCTGTAAATAATCCCAGTGCTGGGGAGACAGAGAAGAGATTCCTGAGCTTGCTGGTTAGCTAGTCTACTCAAGTCTATTCAAGTTCAAAGAGTGAAGTGGAGATGATTCAGGAAGACATCCACCATTAACATCAACCTCTGGCTGTTGTATAATGTACAGCCACATACATATGAACACTCATCCTCACATGCATGCACACCACACACACAAAAGAACACACTGTATCCAGAACCTTGATTAGAAGAAATCTGTGAGTCTTCACTTGGCCAGCATATACACAGTCAAAACCTTATAAATGTAAGTAGAATTGTCACTTGTTGCATGTGTCAAAGGCTGATGTAGTAGGATTCTGTTAACACAACTAGTGTGAAGAGCCTGGCATAAAATAATGTATGGAAGGCTGGGCGTTGGTGGCGCACGCCTTTAATCCCAGCACTCAGGAGGCAGAGCCAGGCGGATCTATGTGAGTTCGAGGCCAGCCTCGTCTACAGAGCAAGTTCCAGGACAGGCTCCAAAGCTACAGAAAAACCCTGTCTCGAAAAACCAAAAAAAAAAAAAAAAAATGTATGGAATGCTTTAGAAATTGCACACTTCAGAAGAAACTTTCTATGTTTATAAATGTTTGTCAGTGGGACATTCTTAGGTAGATCTAAACCATGTTCTTCTAGTTTTATTCTTGAAAATAAATGCTTCAGTGAAATTATTTGCTAAGGTTTACTTAAACAGTTGCGTGTGCTTCCTCTGTAGTTTCAGTATTGGTGAATTCAGTTAATAACTTTCTGTTTTTAATTTAAAATATTGAATTGAAATGTCTTTCTAATATGTGAGCAGTCTTAATTTTTATGTAGTTTTAAAATAATTTTGTCTAATGGACCTGTGAAAACTTTTAATTTGGGCTGGGAAGATGACTCGGTGGATGAGCATCAGGACATAGGTCAGATCCCACTAAACAGCCAGATGTGGCTGAGCACACCTGTGTCCCCAGAATGGAAAGAAGGGGGTAACACAGGTGGATTCCTGGGGCTTGCTGACCAACCGCTCTAGATGAAAACCAAGCTCTAAGATAGTGCAAGCCCGTTTCTCAAGCAACAAGGCAGAGAGTGGTAGGAGAGAACACCTGATGATGTTCTCTGGCTTCCACACATGCAAGCTTGGTGCTTACAAACATGAAAGATTATTCATACTCGGGTTTTCCTACAAGGCTCTTGTCATAGGTCATATATGAATATAAATTCAGAACAAATGACTTTAAACTGAATTTAACTATTTTTCACTTTTAATATTTTCTCCAAACAAAATTTCTGTACATATTTTATAATTTAACTGTTTTCAACAGTATACATTGACATGTTATCTTTTTCATATTTGGACAAAGTATCTGCAAAGTAACATAAAAAAATCAACTTCACAATTTGTCAAATTTTTCCTTTCACCTTAGAGTCATTATTGTCAAAATTCTGATGAAATTTCCTTATGTAATGGAATCCTACTAACTAATGATCTTTTGCTATATAAATTTTATCATATTGATGGTATAGCTTTTTATCATTTTCCCCTCACTACCAAAAGATACATTCCACTGGTTTAAGTGTGTTCTGGCCAGAGATTATAAGACCAAGGCTTTAGTCACATCAAATGTAATGGATTACAGGAATAAATCTACATTCCATATCTGATTTGTTCATCCAAGTGTGGGAATTAAATGAGCACATTACCACCACCTCACCACAATAGGAATCAAATCCAGGGCCTCATGCTTGCCAGGCAAGCATCCCGCCAACTGAACTACAGCCACAGCCCCTCAACAAGTTTTATTATTGAATAGCCTTTCTATGATCATCACTTGAAATTATTTACTTGGCTGAGTTTTGTCCTCATTGATATAAAATGCGACCCACTTAATATTTATTTTACTGGTTTTTTGCTTTGTTTTAAGATTTATTTATTATGTATACAGTGCTCTGCCTGCATGTATGTCCACAGGCCAGAAGAGGGCACCAGATCTCATTACAGACGGTTGTGAGCCACCATGTGGTTGCTGGGAATTGAACTCTGGAAGAGCAGTCAGTGCTTTTAACCTCTCTCCAGCCCTTTATTTGACTTAATGAGTGACTACATCTTTTTTACATATAGTTTAAATATGTTTTAGTAATTTCCTCATCTTTAATGATATGATGATGCAGTTTATACTCAGCACTCCTATCCTCTGTTGCTTGTGTTGCCTCCATTAATTCTGATATCTTTAAATTTGTCAGGACAGTTAATTCCTCCTTTCAAATTCAAAATTTTACATTAAAATGTTTGTAAATCGCAGGGTTTCCCCCTCTCTTTGATTCAGCCTTTCTACCTCCTGCAATAGGTACCTCAGGAACCCAAACTAATGTCCATTACTCGTCAGGTAGACAACCCAGCTTGCCCTTCCAAACTGACTCTGATTACAAATAGACCAGACTCATAGGAAATGTTAGCTATGTTCTCGGGGAGACTGGAAATCCAAGATGCTACCTGTCACAGAGTTGAACACTCCTTAGCATTTGTTTAATCTCACCTCTGGAGGCAGAAGCAGGCAGATCTCCGTCACTTCCCGCCCGCTTGGTTTGTGTGGAGAGCTCCCTATCAGCCAGGACTACATGGTGAGATTTTCTCTCAATAGGGACAGGATGAGAGTTGAACACTGGGCACTGGGTACAGGAGGACTTACACAACCTGTGCTTTTTTTTTTTTTTTTTTTTTGGTTTTTCGAGACAGGGTTTCCCTGTGGCTTTGGAGGCTGTCCTGGAACTCGCTTGGTAGACCAGGCTGGTCTCGAACTCACAGTGATCCGCCTGCCTCTGCCTCCCGAGTGCTGGGATTAAAGGCGTGCGCCACCAACGCCCGGCCACACCTGTGCTTTGTGTGGACTTTGACCTCCCAGGTAGGGAAATGTTGAAACACCAATCTGTCTTGATGATGATGCATGTCCTTACCTCAGTAGTAAACAGAATGAATATCATTCCCATGACAACTGGGGAGACAAAATTAGGGTACGAATCTGCAGAAGGCAGCAGTCCTGCTCTGGTTTTGTGTGTTTGTCCACACACTTGCTGTTTAACTTGAACTGCCATGTTGGTCCCTGTTTCTTCCCAATAATTTTTATGTACCAAAAAAGTAAACATTTGGAACAGGAACCATTTTTTCTTTTCCTTTCTATTTTTCGTGTATGTAACTGTACATACACATGTAAAAGCCTGAGCTTGGCATCAGGGGTCATCCCAATTAATCTTGCACCCTATTCACTGAAGCATGGTCTTAAACCCAGGGCTTACTGCTAAGACCAGTGGTGCTAGCCAGCTTGCTCTGGAGACTTGATGACGCCAACTTCCAAGGCTATAATTACAAGCAGGCCACCACAGCTACCCAGCATTTTATTTGGTCTCAGGGGATCTAAACTGGCAAGTACTTAACCATCTGCCCAGACAAACATATGGAAGCGCTTCATGGAATGGTTAGATTCTTGGAGATTCCAGCAGGAAATTGTTCATACTTATGGTACAGATAGCAGATCCCACACACCTGGAAGCAGTGAGGCTCTGGCATTTACGCTAGCCATGGGCACTAAAGCAGAGACACATCCTTCTTGTAGTGTATCGTGGTCCAGTCTGTATTAGCCCCATGCTGCGGGGCCATCTATACCGGACTGATATCTTTGGGGCTGCGATCAGAACCAGCTGAACAGCCCCGGGTCTGACCCTGACTGGAGGAGCATGGACTCAGGGAAGCTACCTACCCAACTGCTCTAAGAATGAGACAGAGACATCTGGTCAAAATAGGAGGGCTCTCAGTCAATACTGAAGGCCACAGTTATTGAAGCATCATCTTAAGTAACCATCCAAAAGTTGGGGGTAATGGCAGAAGACATCTATTATCATGTATAAAGGGCTAATAGGAAATATTTCCTTTAATCCTAGAGACACTCCTTTACAGCCTGTACTCAAGTCCTTAGGCCCTCCACACCAGCATGTCTTACTAGCCCTCAAGGTGGGTGTACTTGCCCTGGCCCAAGTCTTTCGTTATACAGAATAGAAGCCATTCCTCACCAAGGTCAGGCATCTGGCGGTAATCAGCTGACATTTAAAAGACAATAGAAGTTCTGATTTCTTAGAACTCATGGCTGGATAGAACATATTTCCAAAATATTACTCAGATCCCAGTGTAACGTGTATTCTCCCCGCCAGCCTGGTCCCAGAGCCACATCAGTCCCAAATGAACACACAGGACACTATTAATTATGAAGCTGTTGGCCATTTGCTATGGTTTCTTAATGGCTAACTCCTACTTAATTATTAACCCATAATTACTAATATATAATTTTATAAGGTTTTTTTTTTTTTGGTTTTTCGAGACAGGGTTTCTCTGTGGCTTTGGAGGCTGTCCTGGAACTCTCTCTGTAGACCAGGCTGTCCTCGAACTCACAGCCGGGCGTTGGTGCCGCACGCCTTTAATCCCAGCACTCGGGAGGCAGAGGCAGGCGGATCTCTGTGAATTTTATAAGGTCTTACCTTACCAAGAATGCCAGACTTGCACCCTCTCCTCCCGGGATCACATGGCAACTCTCCACTCTTCACTACATTTCCCAGAATCCTCCTCGACTCCTAGTCCCACCTATCTGTCTTCCCTATTGGCCAACAGTGCTTTATTTATCAACCAATAAGACAACATATACACAGAAGTTCCCGCCATCACCCCTACAGTAGTGCCTTCGATACAAGCTGGTTCCAAAGGCAACACTGCAAATGACAGCCCAAGCATTCCTACAAACCAAGGAAGAAGTCACGGTGTCTTCAGTGTTAAATACAGACGGAAACAGCAGATGGGGAAGGAAGATAACACATACTTACCCTCAAGGAATGGGCTCTATCAGGATAAAGGGACTGAGACCAGGATTGGGCCTTGGTTAGAAAGGAGCAATACATCATGTTGGAGGTGGAGGGAGTTTTCAGAGAAATCCCCAGAATAAAGGAATCTATGGCATTTCTATCCTATTGGGGTAGCAGTAAACTCTACACCATGTGATTCCACTTGAGATCACCCAATGTGGAATGGCCAGGTAATGGGTAGGGCCATAAATTAAGGGCTGTGAAAACCACAACACGGCAGCTTCTTTTTTTTTTTTTTTTTTTTTTTTTTGGTTTTTCAAGACAGGGTTTCTCTGTATTGTTTTGAAGGCTGTCCTGGAACTTGCTCTGTAGACCAGGCTGGCCTCAAACTCACAGAGATCCGCCTGCCTCTGCCTCCCGATTATCTATCATTTAATCCATTTGAACTATTGTATACTCTCTCCATGCTTCCAAATGTTGTTTCTTTGTGTAATCACAGAAAAATGTACATTTCTCAAGTGACAAGTTGTGACAACAGGTGTGAAAAATGTGTCTATAGAAGAAGCTCATTAAACATGGTACACAGGAAGATAAGGGGGCTGATCAAGGAAGCTTTCTCTACTGAGGATCTAAAATGGGCACCAATTTTCAGAGTGGAAGCTAGTAAACAGATACAAGAAGTGTTTTGGCAAATCAAGCTCCTTTGGCAGCTACACTGATGAAGGGGATGGAACTGTGGAAACACATGCATGTAATGAATTTGAGGCCTCTGAACTGTTGTCATTAACTGCTGTGCACACTGAGTAGTACATGCTGCAGACCTGCTAAGCAATTAAAACCTTAGGGATGGGGACTGGAGAGATGGCTCAGTGGTTAAGCGCACTGCCTGCTCTTCCACAGGTCCTGAGTTCAATTCCCAGCAACCACATGGTGGCTCACAACCGTCTGTATTGAAATCTGGTGCCCTCTTCTGGCCTTCAGACATGCAAAGCAGAACACTGTATACTAAATAAATAAATATTTTTTTAAAATCTTAGGGATGACCCAACAGCATATCACAACTCACCAGATGTCACTGTTCTGTTATTTCTTCAAGAGAGTATTCAAGAGCAGTACCAGAAAAGCTGTGTGAGAAAAGCTGTGTGACAGTGGGGAGAATACAATAATCAACTCACAGAATAAATGGCAGGAGATTCCAGAATCGTGAGACTTCCTGTGAATTGAGTAGAGGTTCCCAATGCTATCAGTCTCATCCTTTCTCCTGAAAGCATATGCGGCTGTTTTAGGAGTCAGTGACCTATGAGCTGTGGCTGTGAACTTCATCCTAGAGGAGTGGACTTCCCTGAATCCTTCACAGAAGAATCTCTACAGAGCTGTGATGAGAGAAACCATGAGGAACATACATGATGTATAGGTAAGAGGGATATACTTTCTTCACACAGTGTCTACTGCCCATCAATGCTGTTCTGTGACTTGGGGTATGAAAATGGAAAACTTAGATGATTCAACTTGGTATGGTCATAGTATAACAAGAACTTGAATCATAATTTTGCACAATAACTCATAATGATTTTCTGGGTCTACTTTTAGGACAGACATTGGGAGAACAGAACACTGAAAATGAGTACAAGAACCGTGGGAGAAATCTCTTTTCCGGCTTTCCTGCTTCCAGTTTAGTGGCGGAAAACTACACGGCTCATCTGCGTTGTTTGTCTCTTGTGAGTAATTTCTACAATAAATACTTATTTTTACTTTCAGCAAGTGTGCCGTTTATCGTTGCAGCATCAAAGCTCTGTGAATATGAAGAAGATAATCAATGG